TAATAGCCGCTCGGCATTACTACTTGTTAACTCTAGTAACTGAAAGTGTCGAAGAGTGAACTTCTTGTGCTCAAAAGTGAACATATGTATGTCATAGGTTGTGATAGATGTCGCTGCACTCTGTGAATGTTCGAGTTCGAGAACGCACATACGTAATTGGTGTTGGGTCTCTACAAACGTTCCACACTCACAATCATCCTCCATTATTGTGCAATACTCTGCGGAGCAATAGAAAGGTTCAGGACATACTTTTCCAAATTTTCAGGAAGTAAAAGTTCTGCCTGTACCTGATCCGCAACCAACGATGAATCGTGCCACCATCATAACGTTAACAACACTTGTCCGAGCAAAAAATTCCAGTAGGAAATATAGAAAATTACCTAACATCATAAAAGTGAAACCCGCAAGGAGCGGCAGTCGAACCTGAATTTTTTTTTGTAAATTTTGAGTTGAACGAGGGATACATTCCTTCTTACATCAGAAACCAGTCATAAGGTTACCTGCTCTATTCGATTGCTCCAAAATCCAAACGAGGGAGCCATAATGCATTGACCAAAACTGTACACTGCGGTGATATGGCCATAATCGGTTTCCACGGCTTCAGGATTTAACTAGAAAGAGAGATTTAGAGAGATGAAGTGGGAATGAGAACGGGGGAAATCTCTCAGCTGACCTTCCTTAGATAGGGCCACATCGAACTTGAAAACATGGTGAATTGAGCAGCTTGAATGAATGCGCATACACCAGCAAGGTATATTGATGGCCATGGAGTTCTTGACTGTGCTGCTTCTTCCGTTTTTGATTTGACGTTGGCTTCCGAATCTACCTCAAATTACACTGGATATGAAAAGAAAGCTCACATAACTGCTTTTAATGTCCCAAATTTAAGTGATATAGTAAAAATTAGAAATTCTCCTTTAGGGATATGTATTTGCATCAATTTTAGCGTAGTGCGATGGGACAGTTCATGTACAATTCATTTCTTTGGATTCACCCAAGCTAATTCTGTTTCACCGAATGTACAGATCTCGTCAGCTTGGCCTTACTGCCCCCCCCCCCCCCCCCCCCCC